GCACTGACTTCTTTCAATTTCCTTTTTTATCTCAAATCTGCAAATGTGAAGGACTGGAAAAGACTCAGACACAAAACAGGTGCTGTAATGTCAGAGTTATGTGCTTCACCTCATGGTATGTGTCTGTGAATGACTTGTTTTGAACATAGTGGGGCTACTTTCTCCTAAAAAAGGCAAGTTAGAAAACAGAACTGTAAGCATCTCTGCAGTTGAGCTGCAAAGCAAAGCATTCCAGTCACTTCCACAAGGTTTTTAGTCACTCCATATCCTTTGGTTTTGTCACTGTGAGGAGCTATTTTGGTTTGGTGCTCTGACTCAAAAACATGCAATGTCACATTTGCAGCACTGAGTGGCAAGAAACTGCATTCAAAGGCCTAGAAAAATGTGTAATAAAAGAGGAAAAAAATATATCCTTGAAATATATTGTTTCCTCTATTGGTCTTTTTTGAATAACAGGGACATTTTATATCTTTTTTTTTCTCCGTGAAATGTCCAACAAACTGAAAGGGAGTGAGGAGCTGCTGCCCCAAGAGAGCTGGAGGTAGCCCCACAGTAGTCTCCCATTCATGTGCCATGCACCCCACAGCCTGCAGAGGATCTCCACCTTGCACAGGTCCACAGCTCAGCACACCGCAGTCTGGATTTTACTCTCCACAATCCTGGGTAAATCACTGAATCTCCCTCTGCACCACTTTTTCATCTGTAAAGTGGAGGTACTATTTATAATACTTCCCTCCACGAGCTGTCAGAAGGCTTAATTTCTTAAGAAGTGCAAAGCCCCTGGATAGACTCAGAGCGGAAAAAGCAGTTGAGAAATGTCAGGAGTTACCTCGAGGTTTCCTCTAGTTGCTGTGATGGTGCTGGCCAGGGAGCTTGTCCCTCTCCTGCTTGGGCAGCTCTCACCGCCTGGCCGGGCATGGCTCCAGCTCCTCCCAAATTCAGGGGTCTGCAAGAGCCAGCCAGATCCATCACTCAGCAGGACCAGGGACCACCAGGTTGCTGCTGCTGTGAGACATAGGAGACACTGACAGCTACGGGGCAGCCAGAAATCCTCCACATCCCCTGTCCCACCAAGGCAGCAAAGGGCCCTGCTTGGAGAGAAAGCAAGGAGGGGAAACATCAGGAAGATGTGGCCACAGTCTCCTGCCAACAAATGCTTTTCCAGTGCCCTCTTCTGGAAAACATTTTTGGCCCATGCAACTGCTTCATGTAAGGTAGTTTGAGACTGGTGGTGACTTGCAAGAAGCTGCAGGAGCATCTCCCAGCTCTTAAGACCCAGGATCTGCTCTGCTCCTGTCACCAGTGGACTTGTGCAGCTCTTCAGAGAAGCTTGGCCAGACCCTCAGGGCACTATCCAGAAAATGAGCAGAGAAGGATGTGCCTCCTTGCTCTCCCCTGATGTCCCTGAAGGCTGTCTGTGGCTGTCCTCTGGCATGGAGACCCAGGTCCAGACCCCTTCCCTCCCTGTACTGGGACACCTCCTGCAAACCTTGTGCTCCTCAGAGCCAGTCCTTGCCACCAGCAGCTCCCAAGGAGCCTCCAGAGACAAAAGCTTGGAGATAAACCATTCTGGTAATCCCATCCTTTTGAGGAGTTGATACAACATCATTATGAATCATCTGCAATGAGCTGATGAATGTTTCAGTTCCTCAGATAATTGCTCTTCATGGTTATTCTTGCGGCCTCTTTCCCTCGGAGCAGTCCAGCTTTCTCTCTCCAGGCTCAGGTACAGCTCCGTGTTGTCTCACATCCATATCTGAGTGGTGCCTACCCACCAGCAGCTGTGCTCCTGCCCCAGCTGCCAGCTGCCCCAGGGTCAGTCAACCCGGACCCCGGTGGGAATGGAGCCATGGACCCTCCTCCAGACCCAGCCAGAGGGTAGAAGGCAAAGGGGGAATAACAACTGGTACCAGGATCACCATGGAGTGCTGGAGCCGGGTGATGGCCACTGTCCCCATACCAGCCTCAGCCCTCACTTTTCTGCCAGCTCAGTGATTTGCTTCTGCTGCACATGGAGACAAATCTAGAGGCTTGATAGCCCCATTATTTGCTCCATTAACTGTCAGGGGAGGTGGTGTGAAACTTCTCTGGGATTTTGATGAGTTAGCACAGGCAACGCTCACGCAGTGACTGGAATAGCTGTCAAGGGAAGGTAGCGTCCAGGGGACCAGATGATGTGGATGCTACACATAGGGACAGTTTTCCTCACTGCCCGCTTGATGTTATTTAGAAAACCTTCCCCAATTCATGCCCCTGTGTGTGGCCACATATACACACACTAAAAATATTTTTAAAAAATCTTTTAGGAGCTTTTGTACCTTCTTCCATTTAATTATTTTAACCAAAGCCAGCTCTGTCCTCAGACATTACTTTTGGCTGTGGCCCAACTAGCCTTTTGTTTCTTATCTGCTTGATCTTGGTGTTTTCCTTTATTTTACTCCTTCAAGGGATTCTTGCGCAGCGCCAGCCTTTAACACACACACCCCCCTCCACCGACCCAGCTCCAGCAGCCAGGGCCTGACAGTGGGGCAAGGACATCCCATTGATCCGCTTCTGCCTGAAATATCGTAGGGTTTCCAACTGGGCTCGGTGGGAGCGGTGGAAGGACGGGACCTCTGAGGTCTGTGGGCACAGCCTTTTCAGCACCTCCATGACAGAGGGTCCTGCTCCCAACACCTTTCTCCATGAAGGGTTGAGGGTTTTCCCTCTGCAGAAGGGCAGGGGCTGGCCAAACATCTCTACCTTCAGAAAGCCATAGTATCTTAATTAAAATAGCCACCAGTGATTTGGAGGTGGGGAGCAGGAGCACCCTGAGCTCCATCCTGCAGTGTGGGCTGCAGAAAGCTTTCCTGCCTTTCTTACAAATGCCCTGAGCTGTCAGGGTGTGAAAATCCCCTTTTCAGCATGGCAAGGGCAGCCCCATCCTTCAGAGCTCCCATGTACAGTGACAGGACAGAGACAGTCCCTGTGGGATTGCATCTACCGTGGGGTAAGTCTTGAACTTTCTAAAGACAGGGGCAGAAAGTGCCTGACCCAGTAAGGACAGAAAGTGCAGTTGTTGCAGGGCTAAACCAGAACTGGGTTAAAAGAAGCATGGAATTTATACCTGGTTACAGCTTTCCCTAAAGCTCATTTTTCACACAAGCCAGCACACAGGGCAACAAAATAACCTTACAGGGGAAACAGATACCAGCGTCAAAGTAAAAGCAAAGGAAAAAAAAAAAAAAGATGCTCAGTGTTAGGTGTTTTAGGTAACGTCCTCAGCAGGCAGGGATGGAGGCAGGGGCAGCACGGCCGTGGGCAGCAGCCAGCGCCGACACCTGAACCACGGGAGCTGCGAGTGCTGCGCAACCGGGATGGCTCTGGGGGGACAAACGCCCACTGACAGCCCGGGGACGACGCTCCGGGAACCCGCGCTCGGCTTTTCCATCCTCCACCATGTGCCAAAAGCACCGCTTGCGGCCGGGGGCCTCGGGCCTCCCGCAGCCGCGTTCCCGCGCTCAGCAGGGCGCGCAGGGCTACTGCCGGCGGG